ATTGACCTTGGTGTCTGTGTTGTGTGTCTGTGTGTGCGTGTGTGTTGTCTTGTGCGTGTGTTGTGTTGTGCGTGGGTTTGTGTTTCAGAAACGCGGGCCTCGGGGTCTGCTCCATGTCGTGCAGGTTCGGAGGGATCCTGGCCCCGTTTGTTCCCTCGATGGTGAGTGATTCGTGAAGCCGTGTACAAACTGAGGAAGTGTGATTGGTCACGTTAGCATAGCATCTTTAGCATCTTTAGCATCCTGCGCACGCAATAAATACACACAAGAAACAGTCCGTGTCCCCCCCGCGTCTCCCCCACGTCTCCCCCTGTATCTCTCCTGTATCTCTCCTGTATCTCTCCTGTATCTCTCCTGTATCTCTCCTGTATCTCTCCTGTATCTCTCCTGTATCTACCCTGTGTCTCCCCCTGTGTCTCCCCCTGTGTCTCCCCCTGTGTCTCCCCCTGTGTCTCCCCCTGTGTCTCCCCCTGTGTCTCCCCCTGTATCTCCCCTTTATCTCCCCTGTGTCTCCCCTGTATCTCCCCTGTGTCTCCCCCTGTATCTCTCCTGTATCTCCCCCGTATCTCCCCTTTATCTCCCCTGTATCTCCCCTGTGTCTCCCCTGTGTCTCCCCCTGTATCTCTCCTGTATCTCCCCCTGTGTCTCCCCCTGTATCTCCCCCTGTATCTCCCCCTGTGTCTCCCCCTGTATCTCCCCTTTATCTCCCCTGTGTCTCCCCTGTATCTCCCCCCGTATCTCCCCTTTATCTCCCCTGTGTCTCCCCTGTGTCTCCCCTGTGTCTCCCCCTGTATCTCTCCTGTATCTCCCCCTGTGTCTCCCCCTGTATCTCCCCTTTATCTCCCCTGTGTCTCCCCTGTATCTCCCCCCGTATCTCCCCTTTATCTCCCCTGTATCTCCCCTGTGTCTCCCCTGTGTCTCCCCCTGTATCTCCCCCTGTATCTCCCCCTGTGTCTCCCCCTGTATCTCCCCTTTATCTCCCCTGTATCTCCCCTTTATCTCCCCCGTATCTCCCCCTGTATCTCCCCTGTATCTCCCCCTGTATCTCCCCCTGTATCTCCCCCTTTATCTCCCCCGTATCTCCCCGTGTCTCCCCTGTATCTCCCCCTGTATCTCCCCTGTATCTCCCCCTGTATCTCCCCTGTATCTCCCCCTTTATCTCCCCCGTATCTCCCCGTGTCTCCCCTGTATCTCCCCCTGTATCTCCCCTCTATCTCCCCCTTTATCTCCCCCGTATCTCCCCCGTGTCTCCCCTGTGTCTCCCCTGTGTCTCCCCCCGTATCTCCCCCTGTATCTCCCCCTGTATCTCCCCTGTATCTCCCCCTGTATCTCCCCCTTTATCTCCCCCGTATCTCCCCGTGTCTCCCCTGTATCTCCCCCGTATCTCCCCCTGTATCTCCCCTGTATCTCCCCCTTTATCTCCCCCGTATCTCCCCGTGTCTCCCCTGTATCTCCCCCTGTATCTCCCCTGTATCTCCCCCTTTATCTCCCCCGTATCTCCCCCGTGTCTCCCCTGTGTCTCCCCTTTATCTCCCCTGTATCTCCCCTGTGTCTCCCCTGTATCTCCCCTGTATCTCCCCTTTATCTCCCCTGTGTCTCCCCCTGTGTCTCCCCTGTATCTCCCTCCGTATCTCCCCTTTATCTCCCCTTTATCTCCCCCTTTATCTCCCCTGTGTCTCCCCTGTATCTCCCCCGTGTCTCCCCTGTATCTCCCCTGTGTCTCCCCCGTATCTCCCCTTTATCTCCCCTGTGTCTCCCCTGTATCTCCCCCGTATCTCCCCTTTATCTCCCCTGTGTCTCCCCCTGTGTCTCCCCTGTGTCTCCCCTGTATCTCCCCTGTGTCTCCCCTGTATCTCCCCCCGTATCTCCCCTTTATCTCCCCTGTGTCTCCCCTGTATCTCCCCCGTATCTCCCCTTTATCTCCCCTGTGTCTCCCCTGTATCTCCCCCCGTATCTCCCCTTTATCTCCCCTTTATCTCCCCTGTGTCTCCCCCTGTGTCTCCCCTGTATCTCCCCTGTGTCTCCCCCGTATCTCCCCTTTATCTCCCCTGTGTCTCCCCTGTATCTCCCCCGTATCTCCCCTTTATCTCCCCTGTGTCTCCCCCTGTGTCTCCCCTGTATCTCCCCTGTGTCTCCCCCTGTATCTCCCCTTTATCTCCCCCGTATCTCCCCCGTGTCTCCCCTGTGTCTCCCCCTGTATCTCCCCTGTGTCTCCCCCTGTATCTCCCCTTTATCTCCCCCGTATCTCCCCCGTGTCTCCCCTGTGTCTCCCCCTGTATCTCCCCTGTGTCTCCCCCTGTGTCTCCCCCGTGTCTCCCCTGTGTCTCCCCCTGTGTCTCCCCTGTATCTCCCCCTGTATCTCCCCTGTGTCTCCCCCTTTATCTCCCCTGTGTCTCCCCTGTGTCTCCCCTGTATCTCCCCCTGTATCTCCCCCTTTATCTCCCCCTTATCTCCCCCTTATCTCCCCTGCATCTCCCCCGTGTCTCTCCTGTATCTCCCCTGTATCTCCCCCTGTATCTCCCCCTTTATCTCCCCCGTATCTCCCCCGTGTCTCGCCCTGTATCTCCCCCGTATCTCCCCTGTATCTCCCCTTTATCTCCCCCGTGTCTGGCCCCGTATCTCCCCCTTTATCTCCCCTTTATCTCCCCCGTATCTCCCCTGTGTCTCCCCCTGTATCTCCCCTGTATCTCCCCTTTATCTCCCCTTTATCTCCCCTGTGTCTCCCCCTGTATCTCCCCCTTTATCTCCCCTGTATCTCCCCCTTTATCTCCCCCGTATCTCCCCCGTGTCTCCCCTGTGTCTCCCCTTTATCTCCCCTGTATCTCCCCTGTGTCTCCCCTGTATCTCCCCTGTATCTCCCCTTTATCTCCCCTGTGTCTCCCCCTGTGTCTCCCCTGTATCTCCCTCCGTATCTCCCCTTTATCTCCCCTTTATCTCCCCCTTTATCTCCCCTGTGTCTCCCCTGTATCTCCCCCGTGTCTCCCCTGTATCTCCCCTGTGTCTCCCCCGTATCTCCCCTTTATCTCCCCTGTGTCTCCCCTGTATCTCCCCCGTATCTCCCCTTTATCTCCCCTGTGTCTCCCCCTGTGTCTCCCCTGTGTCTCCCCTGTATCTCCCCTGTGTCTCCCCTGTATCTCCCCCCGTATCTCCCCTTTATCTCCCCTGTGTCTCCCCTGTATCTCCCCCGTATCTCCCCTTTATCTCCCCTGTGTCTCCCCTGTATCTCCCCCCGTATCTCCCCTTTATCTCCCCTTTATCTCCCCTGTGTCTCCCCCTGTGTCTCCCCTGTATCTCCCCTGTGTCTCCCCCGTATCTCCCCTTTATCTCCCCTGTGTCTCCCCTGTATCTCCCCCGTATCTCCCCTTTATCTCCCCTGTGTCTCCCCCTGTGTCTCCCCTGTATCTCCCCTGTGTCTCCCCCTGTATCTCCCCTTTATCTCCCCCGTATCTCCCCCGTGTCTCCCCTGTGTCTCCCCCTGTATCTCCCCTGTGTCTCCCCCTGTATCTCCCCTTTATCTCCCCCGTATCTCCCCCGTGTCTCCCCTGTGTCTCCCCCTGTATCTCCCCTGTGTCTCCCCCTGTGTCTCCCCCGTGTCTCCCCTGTGTCTCCCCCTGTGTCTCCCCTGTATCTCCCCCTGTATCTCCCCTGTGTCTCCCCCTTTATCTCCCCTGTGTCTCCCCTGTGTCTCCCCTGTATCTCCCCCTGTATCTCCCCCTTTATCTCCCCCTTATCTCCCCCTTATCTCCCCTGCATCTCCCCCGTGTCTCTCCTGTATCTCCCCTGTATCTCCCCCTGTATCTCCCCCTTTATCTCCCCCGTATCTCCCCCGTGTCTCGCCCTGTATCTCCCCCGTATCTCCCCTGTATCTCCCCTTTATCTCCCCCGTGTCTGGCCCCGTATCTCCCCCTTTATCTCCCCTTTATCTCCCCCGTATCTCCCCTGTGTCTCCCCCTGTATCTCCCCTGTATCTCCCCTTTATCTCCCCTTTATCTCCCCTGTGTCTCCCCCTGTATCTCCCCCTTTATCTCCCCCTTTATCTCCCCCGTATCTCCCTCGCGTCTCCCCCGTGTCTCCCCCGCGTCTCCCCCTGTATCTCCCCTGTATCTCCCCCTTTATCTCCCCCGTATCTCCCCCGTGTCTCCCCTGTATCTCCCCCTGTATCTCCCCTGTATCTCCCCCTTTATCTCCCCTGTATCTCCCCTGTATCTCCCCCTTTATCTCCCCTGTATCTCCCCTGTATCTCCCCCTTTATCTCCCCTGTGTCTCCCCCGTGTCTCCCCTTTATCTCCCCTGTATCTCCCCCTGTGTCTCCCCTTTATCTCCCCTTTATCTCCCCCTGTATCTCCCCTGTATCTCCCCTTTATCTCCCCTTTATCTCCCCTGTATCTCCCCCTGTATCTCCCCTTTATCTCCCCTGTATCTCCCCTGTATCTCCCCCTGTATCTCCCCTTTATCTCCCCTGTATCTCCCCTGTATCTCCCCTGTATCTCCCCTGTATCTCTCCCTGTATCTCCCCTTTATCTCCCCCTGTATCTCCCCCTGTATCTCCCCTGTATCTCCCCTGTATCTCCCCTTTATCTCCCCCTGTATCTCCCCCTGTATCTCCCCTGTATCTCCCCTTTATCTCCCCTGTATCTCCCCTGTATCTCTCCCTGTATCTCCCCTTTATCTCCCCCTGTATCTCCCCCTGTATCTCCCCCTGTATCTCCCCTGTATCTCCCCTGTATCTCCCCCTGTATCTCCCCTTTATCTCCCCCTGTATCTCCCCCTGTATCTCCCCTGTATCTCCCCTTTATCTCCCCTTTATCTCCCCTTTATCTCCCCTGTATCTCCCCTGTATCTCCCCCTGTATCTCCCCTGTATCTCCCCTGTATCTCCCCTGTATCTCCCCTTTATCTCCCCTGTATCTCCCCTTTATCTCCCCTTTATCTCCCCTTTATCTCCCCTTTATCTCCCCTGTGTCTCCCCTGTATCTCCCCTTTATCTCCCCCCGTATCTCCCCTGTATCTCCCCTGTATCTCCCCTTTATCTCCCCTGTATCTCCCCTGTATCTCCCCTTTATCTCCCCCCGTATCTCCCCTTTATCTCCCCCTGTATCTCCCCTGTATCTCCCCTGTATCTCCCCTTTATCTCCCCTGTATCTCCCCCTGTATCTCCCCCCGTATCTCCCCT